GGCCACATGTTAACTCTACCGTGCATTAGGGATTAGTGCATGCGGTGAGAGATCCATAAACTTGTATGTTGTGCTGAAGTAATCCTACATACGAGAAACGAAAGATTTATAGATGAAAGAATTATAATTAAAATAATATAGAACCTTTCATAAATTTAAGATGATTTTACGAGTATACTTACAGTCATATCACCACCTGAAGTTATATCCAACGCGGCACTCCCTTGGCTGAATAATTATTCATCAGTCACACATCTCGAGATGGAATTCTTGATCATAAAGAATCCATTATATATTCATAATCATATTGTTATTAATTAAAGGGTAAATTACGGCAACCCCCTGCAGTAAGGTCAAATTACGAAAAAACCGCTCATGTTTGGGTAATTATAACCACCCCTCAACTATGAATTTTCTTACACTATGAATTTCCATAAACATCCACCCTTGCGGTGTCAAATTTAGTGGAATCTTCTAGATTATGTGGAATATTTTCCAATTTGTACCCGTTTTACCAATTCGAGCTCCACATTTCGAAACGAGATGATCATAAGATGTGTTTATTGACTTGTAAATATCAGATTGTGGTGGTGTGGTGGTGCATCAGAAGTTGCATTTTTGCACAAAACGAGTACAATCTAGAGAACATTCCACGGAATCTAGACGATTCTGTTGAATTTGACACCATAAGGGTAGACGTGTAAGAAGATTCATAGTTGAGGGGTGGTTGTAATTACCCAAACAGGAGGGTTTTTTTTCGTAATTTGACATAACCTCAGAGGTGTAGCGGTAATTTACCCTTGATTAATGACTTACCCTACACAGTGATCCCCAACTATCAATGTGTTAGAAGTGACATGAAGCAATGCCAAATGGCCATCTGTATGCCCCTGAGATTTTTAAACAATTAAAAAAAATAAAAAAAGAATAAAAAGGATAATGAAAAAACGGCATTGTGCATGAGATTTACTGGAGCCGAAACGAGTCTCAACCGTTGGCCACCAATACAAATTTCCTCAGATCCCAGAACTGGAGTATATCCCGAAGACCAATCATCTGTATCAAAAACAATTATTAGAAATATTAAGCATGATAATTCGTTTACGGTATTACTTTTATTACTGATCTGATAATCTAAAGTTAGTTTACTCGACAAGAACGTATATACTATGACGGTACTTCAGCCATAACACTCATCAAGAACAAACTTTACGGTATGCCTTCCACGTTTTAGGTTTCATAAAGAATGCACAGAACATATATTAAGGTGGTGTTTGCAAATGCTTATTTAAAAGCAGAAGTTAGTGATTGTGAATTAAGTTGGTTTTAAGTGATTATTTCTAAAAGTTGGGGGTGTTTGCAAATATTCTGGAAAATGAACTTAAATAGCAAATGCAGGTTCAGAGATGCTTTTAAAAAAGTAGCTTAAATCAGCTTATTTTAAGAGAAGCAAAAACAAAAGTTAATTTTTCAAACACCTAAAAAACATATTATAAGCAAAAAAAACTCATAATCACTTTCAAAAAGCTTTTGCAAACACCACCTAACTAGAAAAAAAAAATTAATAAAAAAAAAAAAGTAAAACACTAAAAGACACCACAGACCTTTGCTAATTCGGCAAAACGTGTTTTCGTGAGCCAAGAGAGAAGCATCTGGATTGCACTTCTGGACAACGGAGAGACCTGTAAGAACATCAAAACATAATCTTTTCTGATTATACAACTCGTTTAAACATGTGACAAAAATAGAAAATGTTTATGTAAATAAAATAATTTTTAATCATAAATGAGTTGTCTGAAATGGCTTACCATCGACATGGTCATGATGATGATGGGTAACAAACACAAGCAATTTGCACGGGAGCACAGTAATTATTTGTTCCAGCTGTTAGTTAGTACAAGGGAAGGTCATAAAATCATAAGAAAGATGAAATTTGTGTTAATTAATTAGTACTAAGTGTACTTCATATTTAAAAATGAACCACTCGGAAAATTTACAGAATAAGCCCTTTCATAAATCACTTCGGAACAACAATCTAATTCGATGCAGACCAAGTCGTCGATTTAAAAAATATGCAGGAAACTCGTTAGAAGGGTAAGCTTGTTTCCAAGATATTTCTATTTCGTAAGACCACCCAGAAAGAAATCACAGCAATTAAAAAAATAAACTAAAATAAAAACTTAGTATTTTTGTGTCGCGTAAAAAAGACGATAATAATATACCTCTTTGTGCATAGTAGAGTTGCATCCAGGATCTATAATGAGTGCATCTCCACTCGCAACGAAATTATCACCGCTCGATTCGTTGTAAGTAGTCCCGGGCACAAATACAATCAAGTTTGTGGTGTTGAAAGGCTTCGCTGTTCTGCTTCTCATTGGAATAAGTTTAACACCTGGCGGATATTCCTGTCGAATGAGGGAAAGAAAAAAAAACGATGTAATTTTGCAACAAAAACATATATTTTTACGATGCAGGATGCGTAATTTTAGTACAATCAATAACCCAAAACAAAGTTAATACGGGGTGTTTCGACTATTAATACTGCAGGCTAATGAAATATCGACATACATTTATAAACAAAAACCTTCATTTTAGGATCTTCATTGCATCTCAAATGTTCGAATAACAACACCTGTCTACTTCAACATTATAGTGACTGGATAGACAATTTAACCGTGCAAAACGCTACGATAGGTATCGAGATTCTTTAGCATGGCCTGGTTTATAATAATTTTCCGAATTAAATAACAATTGAAAAGGGAAGAAGGGAAAATAAAACGACGGAAATACAGATCAAACGCAGAATCGAACTAAAATTAAGACTAACCTGACATCTTAAAGTGGGAGGAATATTCAAGTTCGTACATTGCACCGAATCGTTCATAAGGCCGACAACAACTAGTGGCCCTATACGATCATTACGAGGCTTCACTTCCACAAGCAAATCCGCACATTCTTTCGTGCTCATCCACTTGCACCACTCTGTAGCAGTTAACACAAATTAACAAGATTTTTTTACATTTAATCGGATTAATCGAAAAGCTTCTTCAGATATCAGCCATTGAAAAAAATAATGTACTTAAAAAGCGACAATTCAGCAAATAACAAACCTTTTAAGTTAAAATCACGAGGTTCCAATTCTCCGACAATATATATAGTCTTAAATGGAATCCCGGGTCCGAATTCAGGTTCCTCGACAACCTTTGAGAATTTCCACCTCGCCTTAGTGTCTTTCTCGAATCCCACTTGACCAAGAACCTACATAAAAAAATATTTGAGGATTTTCAAATTTTGCAGACGATAATAGTGCAATTCAGAACTTGTTCTATAAGGATCTAATCTATAACGGGATTGAACTTCTACAGTTCGTCATGAATTCATATCAATCACTGCAGAAAGTAGAATGAATCGATCTGCCAAATTTTTAGCCCTTTTCTTTTCGGACTTAATAAATTTCCGCCGAAAGAGTGCACATTATCTAAAATTAATGCTGTGCACACGATAAAAACTACTTGGACAATTATAATTTCAACACAATAATACCCTTAATTTGACTCTACTTTTTCTGCTCTTTTCTGATACATCTATAGATATGTATATGTGTGTATCTATCTATATATATATATCATTAAAAAGCTATAAATTTTCTGGATCATCGCACTAATAAGTTTTACAATGCTACCTATTTTTAACTTCCAGGCATCATTTTCCAGCACTCCCACACTTCAAGAAATGTGTATTTCAATTCAAGATTCAAAATTCAAAAAAGAAAAAAAGAAAAATAAAGAACTATTCAAAAAATTAAAAATAGGGTAAATTACACCTACATTCCTGAGGTATGCTACAATAATTTTAAGGTCCATGTATTATCGATAATTACAGTGACCCCCTCAAACATTGTTAGAAACTCTAACTGAATTAATAATGCATTGAATAAGTTATTTTGTTACGGTTCTAACGGACTATTAGTTTCAGGAAGTAGTGAAGACAACATACAGCTAGGGTTGTTAACTTGCCTTCCCCAACATTTCTTAAATCCATATTATTTATATAAGGTTTATAAAAAAAATCGTGGTAGCACTAACGGCCCCACGAAAAACAATTATAATGCATATCATGAAATGTTGTTTCCGGTAATTGATTCAGGGATGTGACTGTAATTACCAATCCTATAGGGACCTTAAAGTTATTTTAGCATTCCTTAGGGGTGCAGGTGTAATTTACTCTTAAAAATAAAACCCACAAGAGAAAAAACAGTTTACTGCATTGTAATTCAGCGGAATACCTGATTAACAGCAGAATCAAAATCAAACTGATTAAGTAATTCCAACGAAGAATCATCGTCAGCTTCAATTTGAACTAGAGAAGAACTGATTATTAATGGGCTATCGAGAAGTGATAATTGCTGAGAAGGCAAGTCCCAAAGATCGGAATCCTCATAAGAATCGTACTCCGGATCGTTGAATTTGGGGGGTGGGGTTTGCTTTACGATGAGTAATTCGACGTCGTTTGATGGGTTTTTGATCATCACCGCCAATTTCACTTTTCGAGTGCCCATTTGGTTTTGTTGAAAATTTGCTGCAGTTGTTTCAAAAGACTGGAGATATTTGGCAGTGGTAGTTGTGCTGTCACTAATATAAACAATAATTACAACAACAATAATAATAAAAATAATAATTCTAATAATACTAATAATAACAATTATACTAATACTGTTATCTTTTTTTTTATTGGTCTAGCATTTAGGTCATATGATTTATGTCATATGATGTATCTTATTTTTTATATTACAAACAATCATAATTTATATTTTACTTTATCATTTATTTTGTTTAATTTATAGCACTTGAATCAAATAAAATGAATACTAACTATTCTTCCCCCATTATATCGTAATATATATCAAATATATTCAAAGGTGCATTCGATTATTTTATCTAAAACTCTTATTATTTTTAAATTGACCCGTGCAATCCGTGCATCGCACGGGTGCAATACTAGTAATACTAATAGTAAGAGCAACTCCAATGCTAAACATCAAATTTGGATTATCGAATACTCATTTGATAATTAAGATAATATTTTAATATTTATTTATAGTTTATCTACTCCAACCATTGTCATTAAAATTAATAATTAATTGGAAGTTTTGTAGTATTTTTATTTGTAATTGCCACGTGTCATTTTGTGATAGGATGTTTATGTGGTTATTTTTTTGATAACTCAATTTTCAGAATATATTTTTACATATAAAATGGTAGAATATCAAAATACTTAACCATTTTGATACTCCCATTGGAGTTGCTCTAATAAGAAAGTAATACTTATAATAATAATAATAATAATAATAATAATAATAATAATAATAATAATAATAATAATAAAAGTCCCAATTCATAAGAAATCTTGTAATAAATAACCATGGCCAGATCAAAAAGCTCTTTGGAGAGAGACCTCCGGAACAGGTCAACGCATTGCCGGAATGAGAGGGGTTCGTTCGTCAGGCGGTACCATCCCAAGGGGCTGACTACTCCAAATCTCAGCAACGTGCCGACGACGAAATAAACCATGCTCCACGGTTTCCCATATTCCCATCGCAAGGCATAACAAAATTGGTTCGCCATATTAATATGCATTCTAGTAAGTTCCGCCTACGTGGGAAGATTGTGCACGGATTCAATCGAATGAAACTATACAATCGTTGGAGTTGTCAGAAATTTTGCACGGATTCAAGCGTTGGGACTTCCAAACTATACAGGCCTCAACTGAAAAGACATCATTATGATTTAGTTAACAACCTCAAATTGGTCTATCACTCACCTTGAGTTTGAACAGGCTGTTAGTATAATTAAAATTATTATTATAAAGTTATATTTAGATTAGGAGTTCTAGTTAGATTTTAACTAGACTTGTATATATCCCTTATTATAAATAAGATAATTCTATGAGTGAATAACATACAAATTAAATTAATTATAATACTTTTTCAAGTATTCCAACAAGTTTGTTCGCATCAAATCCAGGGACTCCTCCTAAATTATCTTCAGAAACACAAAAGTATAAAGAAACAATATATATTTTATATTACAATAGTCAAAGAGAGGTCGAATTTGCTATTTAAATTCGATTACTTTATCCTCGATCACGATTCTAAACCACAATTCTGCGTCCTGACATGCGCCTGCACGACATAAGGCCTTAGTCCTCGAGCTCGTGAATAAGGCGGAAATCATCCTTAAAAATACCCTTGGTGAGGGGAAAGTATTATATGCAATTTTCACTCAAATTGCATTTAGTATTAATGATCCCGCGTTTGGCATTTCTGGTCATGCATTTCGTACTTTCGCTAATTATTTATTTTATTCTTATAAAAAAGTTTTTTTTTATTTTTATTTTTTATATGTATATTTTTTTGTTAATCCTTTATTTATTTTTAATTTATTTAAAAAAAAGATATGTTTACTGCACTGAAAAGAACTACATGTAACTGTAATAAACTGTAGTAATTTGTATTAATATTCTTTATTTTTACCCATTTTTTTAGTCGACAAATTATGTACAAACACAAATATCAGCGCTTATACAAAAAAAATGATAAACACCAACAATATAAATTCACAATTTAAATATTTATATCATAACCAACAAATACAAGTCGAAATGCACAATTACATGCATATTTTATTACATGTTACAATATGTTACTAGTAATGTAGTAATGTACACAATCTGTAGAAACTCTGCAACTTGAAGCAGATGTTAAAATCATCAAATTCGTCTACAACTTCAATCAAATTGGTTGACACCTTGAAGAAGAGGATCAATGGCTTCCGTTAATTAAGGTGCAATTGCAAAATTGAAATAAAATAAATTACTTTAGTGCAAATTTACAAAAATTGAAGAAACATCAAAACATAAAAAAATCGACAAACAGAGAGAGAGAGAGAGAGGGGTCATAGCTGCGAAATGCTACGAATTTTAGACCAAACCGCCAATGACTCCTCACTCTAAGTGCTTCATTCCAAAACCCTAGCCGCCACTAACCACCTAAGGTTCGGCGTTCACAATGAAAAAAACTATAAAAATAAATTTGACAATAAAAAATGAACGAAACTACCATAAAAAAATAGATCTCGACGAAAGGAATCCAACGGTAGGTAGCCCGTCAAATTCCGATTGTCGGAACAAATACACCTGTGACGGCAAAACCCATTGTCGTCGAAATATGCGCCGAATGTAAAACAATTGTAGAAACAGATTCAGAGATTCAAAGGTCAATGTCTATGTGGTATCGATAATTACACTCACCCTACTGAAACATAGTTATAATCTCTAATCGAATAATCCATTAGATTCGTTATTACGATATAATTCTAACGGACTATTACTTTTGGTAAGTGGTGGATCTAAAAATAGTGGAGACAACATAGAGATAGGAGGTGACATGACTCCCCCAACATTTCTTAAATCACCCATTACTCTATGTTGTCACTACCACTTCCTGAAACTAATAGTTCGTTGGAATTCTATCGGAATAACCTATGTAATGCATTGTCACATTAGAGTTTCTAATTATGTTTCAGGGAAGGTGAATGTAATTACTGATATCACAAAAATCTTAAAGTTATTTCAGCATACCTCAGGAGTGTGGGTGTAATTTACCGTAGAAAATATTTAAAAATTCAAATATAAGCAGAAAGAATCACCAAATAAATAACATAAATATTACCTCAAACGCATAAAAAGATGCAAACTTCAGTTCAAAAAGAGACATGGATTGGACGGCTTAAACCTAAGGTAGGTTTTTTGAAATATAATACTGATGCTGCGAAATATGGTAATGTATGGGGGGAGGTATGTTAAGTGATCATCATCAGGGTTGTTCTTTGTATGGATTTTGGTATAGATACTTCCATAGGATATTTTGCATGCTGAGTTGGAAGCTATCTTTGATCGATGCGATAACAGTGTGTAATTAATTAGGGTTTAACAATATCATCTTTGACAGCGATTCTCTCATCGCTGTGAAATTTGTGGTGGAAAGATCTCGGTCAAACTGGAATGTTGCATACCTTGTTCGACAAATTCAGATGAGTTTTGGTAGATTCGGACCGATCATGCATGTATTAATGTATATATAGGTACAAAAATATATGACGATTGATGGTTAATTTGGTTTAAGCAACGATCTTGATCACGAGTGCGTGGAGTTTGGTTCGAGGAAAGAGCTCCCTCCTTCAGTTGAAAAGCAAATAAAATCCTAGATTGTAGAGGAGTTCCTCAGTTTCGACGGAGACATGCAACGTAGGGATAGGTATATGTCCTTGTGCTTTAAAGTTAGTTTTGATTATTTCTTTTTCACCTCTTTTGGGGCTGTTTGTAATAGTTTTGGGGTAGACATGACCACTGGTTCGGTTAGAACCAGAATTGGAATCGAACCGAAGTCAACGGTTTTTTAACCAAACCAGAACTGGGAAAATTGATTTGGTTCAGCTTTCCCATTTTTGTAACCGCTAACCGCCGGTTAGAACCGGCCTAACCGTTTTTATTATTATTTATAGGGTAATTACAAACACCCCCGTGAGGTATGGCCAAATTACAAAAAAAACCCTCTTGTTTGGATAATTACATCTACCCCCCTCAACTATGATTTTTTTCTTACACCTCCACACTTATGGTGCCAAATTCAACATAATCATATAGATTCCATGAAATGTGCTCTAGTTTGTACTCGTTTTATGTAAAAATACAGTTTCCGATGCACCACAAACTGATATATACAAGCTAAAAATCGCATATGATGATCATCTTGCTTCATAATGTAGAGTTTTAATGGGATAAAACGGGTACAAAAGTGATAATATTCCATATAATCTCGAAGATTCCACTAAATTTGAGGAGTTGAGGGGGTGGTTGTAATTATCTAAACAAGAGGGGTGTTTTTTGTAATTTGACCATACCTCAGGGGGGTGTTTGTAATTTACCCTTATTTATATATCAATTATAACTACAACTAATTCTTTTCTTTTCCTTTTTAAAACCTTTCAATTTATTTCCTTTTTCTTTTTTAATTTTTAAAACTGCAACTAATTCCTTCATAATTCTGAAAGTACAAAAATATTTTTTTAAGTATTTTAAAAAAACTTGAAGTAATTTTTTTTTAAATATTATGTTTTCTAAGTATTCTTTCAACTGTTTAAAAAAAAATACCTATTTTTTAAGTCTTTTTTTAAATTAAATAAATAATAAAAAAAGAAAAAAAATATTATTAAGAACCGGCCGGTTGTACGGTTAGATCCATAAAGAATCGGAAATATTTGGCTCGGTTCCGGTCCCTCCAAAATCGGAATTGGAACCAGCGGTTTGGAACCAGAATCGGAACCGAACTGAACCGAACCGAACCGTGGTCATGTCTAGTTTTGGGGTAGGATTGTTTAAATTTTCGTTTTTATTCCTTTCTCGTTAGATATACTCTTTTACTTGTGTGGACCCATTAGACGTAAACCTTTCTAGTTTTTATTCCTTTCTCATTTTTAATTTTCGTTTTTATTCCTTTCTCATTAGACGTACACATTTAATTAACCAAGTTATGATTTATTATTTGAATATCTACTGCATATAGTTTGAAAAACTGAAACAATACCACAAGTAAAAACCATTTAAATTTGCCTCCATATTGGCCAGCATCATTTCATTGTGCCTGTATATATGCCACAATATCATCTTTTCTGACTGGATTTCCATTTGTAGATCTGTCTCTTCACTTCATATCATTCATTGGAGAATTGTGTGTACCATTTACAAATTATCATAATTTCATGTTCATATATATATATATATATATATATATATATATATGCTTCTCCTGTTTTGTGGCCCTTGAAACTAAAAAAGACCTGAATTGTGAAGTTAGTGGAGTAGCCTCACTCACAGCTTGAGATATGACTCACATTTGCACTTATCAAAAATAGATAAGGACTCCACAATCTTAACTGTCATGATATTTTTTTGAAAATAATGTATCTAATTAATTATTCCATCCGTTTTAAAATTAACTGTCATTTTAAAAGAAAGTTATTTAATATTATCTGTCATTTTTTAATTCTTACTGGAATATTGAAGTCATATATATGGAGTATATATCTTTTTCAAGATTCATGCGCTTTTATTAATTTTATTTACTATGTGCGCGAAATTTTGAGTAACACTTAGGTGATGTTTACAAAAACAATTGAAAAGTGATTCTGAGCTTTTTTAGGCTCAGAATTACTTTTAAAATGTTTTCAACACTAGTTTTTGTTTCTACTTCTCTTAAAATAAGACACTACCTTAACCTAAAACGGTGACAGGTCACATTAATATATTCATGCTTGCTAATTGAAACACAGAACTAGAAAAATGTGAGAATAGTTTCTCTCTCTCTCTCCTCTCTTTGTTGGCCCCTCTTTCTCTCTCTAGAAGATCATGTATGAACAGAAGAATTATGAACAGAATGCGGCCTTTCATCCTACTAAACAGCTACTAACAAAAACATTATTAATTAAACATAATGATTACTTACTAAATGGAGCTGGTGGCAAATTTCTAAGCACTTGAGGCTAAAAACAACTCTCTTGAGTTAGGAGTATAGCATATATATTTGATAATCAGGAAAGTTACAACTTCCGTCCCTTAAGTTTGCACCAATTTTACATTTTACCCCTTATGTTCATAAAAAACACATTTGGTCCCTGATATTTTCAAAATCAAACACTTTTAGTAGTTTCCGTCAACGGAATCATGTGTGTGCCCGTCACTGCTTTAACTGATGGAGTCGACAGTAAATTGACGGAAATGACCAAAAGTGTTAAATTATTCAAACATGAAGGACCAAATGTGTTCTTTATGAACATAAGGGACCAAATGTGAATCCAATGCAAACTTGAGGGGTGAAAACTATAATTTTCCCTATGATAATCTCACTCGCTTATTTTGATAAGAAAAAGCTCAATGATCACTTAAAAGCGTGCTTTATGTTTAAAATTGAAAAAAGGGATTTATCACAAAAATTATATGTATGAAAATGATAAAGCAGAAGAAGAAAGAATAAATATATATGTGACAAGAAAGATTATGGTGGTGGGAAATTAAAGTATATATATTTTTATTGAATAATGTGGGTTTACCATAAGCATACCACACTCTCTTTTGTTTAATATTTGACAATGGAATTCATACTTGGCCACTCACAAAATTCATTATTACGATGTTATTCTTCTCACTTAATGTTTTTCGTGAGTTTTCTTTTTCATTTTATTGCGGGAAAATTTATTTTGAGAGAATAATTTGAGAATGAAATTAACGTTTTATTTATGATTTGAGATCAAATAAAATACAGTGTATCAGTTAAATTATGTTTAATTTTTTTTTGAAAAAATGTGTTTTAGAAGAAGAATTTGAAATAAAATAAAATGATGTTTGTTTGTTTTTTTATTTAAGATATATAGTTTTTTTACTGTATCAGTCATATATCTTTTTACTCTAGTAGTCAAATTATGTATGGAGAGATAAACTTTAGAATTAGTATGAGAATTTTGTTTGAAAAGATAAACAAACACAAATTCGTTTCCGGGAAGAAAAATATAAGTGAAACGAAAACCGAACCAAATATGCGTGTATATACCACCTTGATCATGCATATATACATTTGTTTGTGTGTGTGAGTGTATTTTCATTGTGTTTATATGAAAATATAATGTGGCGCTCCGTTCCATAATATCTGTCGCTTTGGAGAATTTTTTTTGTCCCATATTATCTGTCACTTTAAATTTCCAACACTTCATTAATTATTTAATTTCCAGTTTATACCCTTATTAACTCGTTTTTTTCAATTAATTTCTCTCTCGTATTAATTATAAGACAAGGTCATTTTAGTCTAAAAACATACATTTTCCTAAAATCAAAATACATTTAATAAAATTCTTAATCTTTGTGCAATGTTATAAAAAACGACAATTAAAATGAAACGGAGGGAGTATAAGATTTGAAATTAGTGATAAAATAATCACAACAATGATTAATTCCATTAATAGGGACTATTAACTAATTTTCCCAATAAAATACAAAACATTGATGTTACAACTTAGCCTAGCGGTTGGAAGCAAGGGAGCTTGGGTCAATTGACCCAAGTTCGAATCCCCTTGACAACGGTCGCTAGGTCGAGCTTGTCACACATGGTTAGCCTAGTGTGGTTTAAATCTCTCGTATGGTTTGCAAGCTATTATACGAGAGTGTAGGTTTACCCAGTGCACCTATATGGTTGGCTGCGGGTTCCTGCATTATCAAAAAAAAACTCACAACTCAGACTCACATTAAAGACAAAGAAAAGAAGCCTCAACAGCTGTTTTTCTGCCCAATTAAGAACGCTCAAGAATTAGCCAACACCACAATTTATTACAGTGAAGGCGAGTGGTCCCCACCGCATTGGTCAACCTTCCCAAGTTAATGGAAACCTTGGGGAGGTTTTCATATCTTTTTCATTATACGTATTTTAAATATACATATATACATATTATTATAATGCAATATTAAATATTTATTGGTTCAATTGCAATTTTGCACCTACTTTTCGCGGGGGTTAGGATAGGGAGAGTGTGGATGCACGATTATCTCTCGTGCCATACTAACATTTTACTTGTGTTTTTTATCCTATGCTGCACAAAAACTTCAGTTTCTTAACGTATTCGTATTTTAAACATAAAAATGTGTATGACACTTGAGAATACCTGACGTACACCTTACGAGTTATTTTGTAATTTTTTTAAAAAGTTGGAAATATATTTAAATAGTAAAATTTTAAAAAATTAAAAATAAGGCTCGTGAGCTCACGAACAACTAAAAAGAGATCGTCGAACTCTCGAGTTCGAGCTTTTTTCGAGCCGGCTCATCGAGCTCACGAGCAGCTCAGTTCGTACCACCCTAGTTTATACGATCATATTTGGGATATAACTTTAAAGAGATTAATTTATGTGATTTTAGTTAAATTATTGTAGATATTTATTTATTGCATTATGTTGTTAGCAAAAAGAATCCCTAAGGAGATAAATAAATAAATTGGGTATCTATTAAAATCAAACACATATAAAGTATAAATCGATAAGATTGAACAAGTGTAACATTAATTCCCCCCAACTCCCTACACCACGCACTTGGCTTTTCCAATCACGTGCCATGCACATTCAAATGAGCCACCACCTCGCTGACATGTCCTACTACATGCCACGTCATCCTACCTTAAACCTCCCGCCACGTGTCAAACTATAAATTGCCTCCTCTTTATCCATCGCTAATTTTCTCCCTTCATTTCTACTCGCGGAAACAAGAAAAAAAAATTAAAATTCCTAGAGAGAGAAAATTTCCCTAAAAGGGGAGAAAGTTCGTAAAGACCAGGAGAGAGAGAGAGGCTCTCTTTAATCTGTTCCTTTTTTTCGTGTGTTTGTGTATGATTAGATGGCGACGCCGGGGATACAGAACGGCAGCGTTTCGGTGATTGCAGCCGCGCCGGTGATGGCGCCGGTGGATCAGAACGGACACTCTGCTGCTGCTGCTGCTGCTGTGAAGCTCTCTTCTCCAATTAGGATATTTTTGTTCTTCCACAAGGCGATTCGGGCGGAGCTAGACGGCCTTCATCGGACCGCCTTGGCGATGGCGACGAATAGAAGCGGCGGCGACATCAAGCAGTTGACGGAGAAGTGCCATTTCTTAAGGTCGATTTACAAACACCATTGTAATGCCGAAGACGAGGTTTGTACTCATGTGGTTGATTTGATTTGTTTTTTTTTTTTGGTACTGTGTCAAATTGGATAGAATTTTGTAAATTGTGAATTTTAGTTGACTGAACCGTTTTTGTTTACTCAATTCATGCCATTATATGTATATAATTGGAGCCCTCTGAGCATTTAAGCTCAATTTTCTTTAACCTATGTACCTATGTAGCTACTGTGAGTTTCTTCTAACAAAATTCCAGTTCAAATTATCTGCCTTTTGGTTTAGACATGATTCTTTTTTTTTTCAAGATTGCTGATTGATAATCCAAGGTAGGTATGTGTTCTGAGTTCAGATAGATATTTTTTTTTGTGTGGATAGGTGTAATTGCAGCAATTTTCTATTGTCGAACAGGGCAACTCAACAGTAACCTTATTTGTTTTAATCACGCATTTTCTTGTGATTGCTGATTTCTATTTGAAGAAGTGTGATAGTTGTTTGAAATCGAATTTAGGAAAGTATTTCTTGAGTGAGAGTTGAAATATTAGTACGCCTATGTAAAATAGTGGCAATATGCTTTTTGAAGTTTCATGTGTGTGCTTTTACATGCTAGAATATCTTTGAATTAAGGAAAATAACTAGACAACTAAATTCATGATGTTATGTGATTGGACCTTTTAAGTCTCAAATATATTTACCTCTCTGGTGGTGAGCAAGCTGATGATGCTCATGGTTAAAAGATATTTATTATCTTGATGTTTGCTTCATACCCATTTCAGTCCCGGATGTTGTATTATTTCTACCGATTCTACTGAGGAGCTCATAATTAAAAGAAGCAGTATACTTACAACTCACATAAGGATCAAACAGATACAATGTCGTAACATTCATTACATAAGTTATGTTTAAGATGCCACAGATAAGTAAAAACAAGAAATTTTATCACAAGAGTTATAGAGAACACTTCAATACTTTATTAGGTTGATAATTTCTCTAATTTTGCTCATTTAAAATGGTAAGAATGAGCAAGCTAACCATTAAAAGTCTTTCATATTGGTAATGACAGGTTATATTTCCGGCTCTTGATATCCGTGTGAAGAATGTCGCCCAGACTTATTCACTTGAGCATGAGGGCGAAAGTGTGCTATTTGATCAGCTGTTTACGTTGCTGGGAAATGATATGATAAATGAGGAAAGCTACAAAAGGGAGTTAGCTTCTTGTACAGGAGCCCTTCAAACATCAATCAGTCAGCACATGTCCAAGGAAGAGGAGCAGGTTTAATATTGATCTTTCTTGGTTTTTTTTTCTTATGATGATCACATACAATTATGCATATCATAAAGCAATATATTTGAAGAATTTTAGTAGCAACCAATAGTCTGCACTGGCTGCATATATGTTCCTTTGGTGCTCTGTCATACAATAGAATAAAAACAATTAAATGTCATTATACGCCATTACCGGTGGCCAGCAATTTAACATAAGCTGTCATTATTCGGGATATTTTTAATGATGGATTCAAGGCAATGTTTGAAGCATGCCTTTTTGCAAATTTCCATTTTGACTTATAGTCATAGTCTCTGGACTTTAAGCAAGTTGTACGGCACAAGGAACAATATTCACTCGTGACACTCTGGGTTACTTTCTGGCACTATCTAAACTTTGTTTTCTCATCTGAGATTACTCATTTTTCTTTTTAAATCTCCTGCAAATATGAATTGCAGCATGTCGCTTACTTCTATCAGTTCCCTGGATTCACTTTCAACAAACTACATCCTCTTCATATTTGTCCCTCTTTTTTTTTTCCTTCCGGAAATAGTGTTTGAGCTCCTATTTAGTGGAAACTCAAATAAATAAACATGAACACACAAAAATTGCATCTATGTGGAAAAAAGAAAAGTTCCTATTTCTGGTCAGCTAGTGCTAATGTTTAAAAAATGCCCCTGACAAAGTAGTGAAACCTGGAGTGAAACCTAAGGAAGCAGCTAAGGAGAGTTCTGGAAATGCTTGGTAGTGTAGTGAAAAGAGCAAGTTCAAACTAATGAGAGTCCTTAGTTCTGAGACCCATGTGTCAATCTTTCCGAGTGATCTTACGGAATGAAGAGAGCATTCCTCAATGAAAAGTTTTGACTGATTTGTCCACATGGAACTAACTTTTATTTTATATGCTTGGAGGTTCCTGCTGTACATTTTGAAATTATTATTTCAAACTGGGTGGTCCAGAATCCACTCAACAAAAGCCTTATCAGTTCATACTTTCAGCGTGCATAGGCATCAAAATTTAGGAACCTTCACCATGTTTTTGCCTTATGCATCAACTGTGGGCCTTCCATAGTTGCCCTTTTATAGTATGTTGAGCCCTTCTCTTTTCTGGTTTAGACTAATCTGTTGTTCGTCGCTTAACAGGTTTTCCCCTTGCTTAAGGAAAAGTTCTCGTTTGAGGAGCAGGCATCATTAGTGTGGCAATTCTTGTGCAGCATACCTGTAAATATGATGGCAGAATTCTTGCCATGGCTTTCATCATCAATCTCACCAGACGAAAGGCAGGATATGCGTAAATGCTTGCACAGAATAATCCCTGATGAAAAACTGCTTCAACAGGTTAGATACCTTGACTGAAAACACAAGCATGACGCATTTGCCGACCCTGTTTTTCTAACTTGATTTTCTTGATCTGAATGAAGATTATATTCAACTGGATGGATGGGGTAAAGATGAGCAACAAGCGTAAACGTTGTGAGGATGATCCCAGAACTCCTAGTGACTCTGTTAATCCAACTGTAAATGGGCAATGCCGTTATGAATCCCCTCAGCTTTCTGATTGTAATGACATCAAATGTCCGCTTCATCTTCCAGTTGATGATATATTGCATTGGCATAAGGCTATCGAGAAGGAACTGAATGATATAGCTGAAGCAGCTAGAAATATAAAGTTAACTGGAGATTTCTCTGATCTATCCTCTTTTAATAGAAGGCTCCAATTTATAGCTGAAGTCTGTATTTTCCATAGGTATTCTTTTACATTTTTTAGGCTTTGCCGTTCCCTTTTTTTTTTTTTTTTTTTTTTTTGTACATAGTTATTTTATTGAAGGGTGACTTTAAATAATTTTACCTTGCTGCAGCATCGCTGAGGACAAAGTCATATTCCCTGCAGTAGATGCGGAAATCTCTTTTGTCGAGGAGCATGCAGAGGAAGAGAGTGAATTTCACAAATTCAGATGCTTAATCGAAAGTATTGAAGCTGCTGGAGCCAACTCTTCTGCTGAATTTTATTCCGAATTATGCTCACAGGCTGATCATATAATGGAGACCGTAAAGAAGCATTTTCTCAATGAGGAAAATCAGGTACACGATTCACTGTTTGGTCAGCATTTTTGAATTCTTCGAAAGGACTGAATTGTATGCATTCAAATCTTAATAAAGCTTTATTTATATGATCCTACGTGTCTCGTTGACTAACTTGCAGGTTATTCCGCTTGCAAGGAAGCATTTCAGCCCTGAAAGGCAGCGAGAACTTCTATATCGGAGCTTATGTGTGATGCCACTGAGATTGATCGAATGTGTCTTGCCATGGTTGGTTGGATCACTGAGTAAAGAAGAAGCTCGGCGTTTTCTTTATAACATGCATATGGCAGGTAGTTAACTCAGTTTATTTATCTCTTTCCTTCTTCATTTCACTTTTATGTGCCAGTAACTGATTCTTCATCATTTCTTTTACATAATTATTCGTTACAGCTCCAGTGTCGGACACAGCTTTAGTTACTTTGTTCTCTGGCTGGGCATGCAAAGGTCTTCCTATGGGAATATGTTTGTCTTCTAGTGAAACTAGTTGTTGTCCTGCAAAGGAGCTTAAAGTAGAACAAGAGCATTTTGGCAGATCCTTTGGTTCATGTGCCTGTGCAAGTACCTCTGATAACAGTACTACTTTCGAACAAGCGCGCAAGTGTGTAATGATGGTCAAGCTGGGAAACCTTGCTTCCACACAAAGTAATAGTTGCATTGAATCCCCAAAAGATTTTCTCACTAACCAATCTTGTTGTGTTCCTGGCCTAGGAGTCAATAGCAATAGTCTAGGAGTGAGTTCCTTAGCCGCAGCAAAATCTTTGCGTTCTTTATCTTTTGGTCCAAGTGCTCCTTCTCTCAAGTCTAGTCTTTTCAACTGGGAAGCAGATAATAATAGCTCCAGTAGCAGTGGCCATGTAACACGACCGATCGACAACATCTTTAAGTTTCACAAAGCCATCCGGAAAGATTTGGAATTTCTAGATGTCGAATCTGGGAAACTTGGTGATTGTGACGAAACTTTTCTCAGACAATTTAGTGGCAGATTTCGTCTTTTGTGGGGCTTGTACAGAGCTCATAGTAATGCGGAAGATGATATCGTATTCCCAGCCTTGGAATCGAAGGAAACTCTTCATAATGTAAGCCATTCTTACACCTTGGACCACAAGCAGGAAGAAGAACTCTTTGAGGATATCTCGTCTGCACTATCTGACCTCTCTCAACTCCACGAGAATTTGAACGCGAAAAATGTGACTGGAAACTCGGGTGGAAGTTCCGCTAGTTCTTCAGGTCACGCCGATTATTTGAAAAAATATAATGAGCTGGCGACAAAAATTCAAGGAATGTGCAAATCCATCAAAGTAACTCTGGATCATCATGTTATACGTGAAGAGGTTGAACTGTGGCCATTATTTGACAAATATTTTCCCGTCGAGGAGCAAGACAAACTCGTTGGCCGCATAATTGGCACAACAGGAGCAGAGGTGCTTCAGTCAATGCTACCTTGGGTAACATCCGCTCTTACTCAAGAAGAGCAAAATAAGATGATGGACACATGGAAGCATGCAACTAAGAACACTATGTTCAGTGAGTGGCTTAATGAATGGTGGGAAGGGACTTCAGCAGAATCTTCACAGGTTTCCACATCAGAAAATAATATCCCACAAGGTACTTGTGACTGCACTTTTCTGCTATGAGTCAATAGTTATGTTCAGTTTCAAACTTTTTAACTATATAAGCAATTTTTCAGAATATGATTTGCATGAATCCGTGGATCAAAGTGATCACACGTTTAAGCCTGGGTGGAAAGATATATTCCGAATGAACCAAAACGAGCTTGAATCGGAGATAAGGAAGGTTTCTCGTGATTCAACCCTTGATCCAAGAAGAAAAGCTTATCTTATTCAAAACCTAATGACCAGGTATACGACTTTCTTAATATTTTTTGTACTGTTACTTTTACATCTTAATGTAGTTCATGCGGTTCTTATTGGTTTTAGCACATTTAACTTATTCCAGTCATCGTAACTGTTGTATAGTCGGTGGATAGCTTCCCAGCAGAAAATTTCCCAGTCGGATGAAGTTGATGATGGTAAAGATTTACTCGGTCATTCCCCATCATTTCGTGATGCTGATAAACAAATCTTCGGCTGCGAGCATTATAAAAGAAACTGCAAGCTCCGGGCTGCTTGCTGTGGCAAATTGGTAGCATGCAGGTTTTGCCACGATGAAGTCAGTGATCATTCAATGGATAGGTACTCTACCTCACTATTTAAAAAATGATTAGATGGTGTGATATCTTTTCTTTTTTTACTTTTTTTTTTTTTAAATTTACTCCCAAGGCTTTCTTTTAAATATTTTATTATTTTTGCAGGAAGGCAACATCTGAAATGATGTGTATGAATTGCCTACAGGTTCAGCCAGTTGGGCCGGTTTGCATAACCCCTTCTTGCAATGGACTATCAATGGCGAAATACTATTGTAGTAGCTGCAGATTCTTTGATGATGAACGGTAAGGTTTTATCAGATCTCACTAACCTTCATGTAGTGTGTTTTGGCCGCTGAAGACTTTTTTTAATATAATCTAGTCGCTTTTATGTGTGCTTGGATTTGTGATCAAGTGTTAGTTTATTTTTTTTTGCATATAAGAAATTGTGTGTGTTCCTGAAGAACGAACGGGACGTTGATGAAACTAAACACCTAACGGAAACAATGTATCCTGCTTACATTTGATTCCACCCCTCCCTTGTAGGAATTCTGTGTGATTATTATATTTTCAGGGAGTGAACTAGGAATTCCTCTTAAGCTATAATAATTACTTAGCTATTAAGAATCGGATAACTAAATTTGAAATGTATTTCATTAAGGCTGTTTCAGATTCCAGTAAATCGTTCTCTATCCTGGAAAAGCGTTGTCAGGAATTTTTCATGCTAAGGCTTTGAAGATGACTTAAAAACTCGTGCTCGTAAACATTATTATGTACTGATGTTTCTTCTTTCGTCTTTGTTTCTCCATGTATATATAATCTTCTGATTTGACTACCTCTGTACATAACGGAATGAAGCTTTGATTCAACCTTGGTGAATTTTCATCGAATGGCTGTCTTATTTTCCAGGGAGGTTTATCATTGTCCTTTCTGCAATTTGTGCCGTGTTGGGAAAGGACTCGGCATAGACTTCTTTCATTGCATGACATGCAATTGTTGCTTGGGAATGAAACTAGTGAACCACAAGTGCAGGGAGAAAGGTCTTGAAACTAACTGCCCAATATGCTGCGACTTTTTGTTCACATCAAGTACAGCTGTGAGGGCTCTTCCATGTGGTCATTACATGCATTCCGCTTGTTTCCAGGTGTTCATTTATCCCGTTTTATGTTATCTCTTTTATAGTTGGATAAAATATTAACTTTTTCATTCTAATGCACATTCTTATTTCTCTTTTCTCTTGCACGCTCGTAACAGGCATATGCGTGCACCCATTACATCTGTCCCATTTGCAGCAAGTCGATGGGAGACATGTCGGTAAGGATCAGCATTTCCGATTAACATGTTGAACTCTTTATGCTTTTCCAGTAGCAGTATACGAAGACTAAATATTAAATTCGAAGTACAATTACATTAGCTACTGATATGAGAAATATGGCTGAGTCGATAACTTGTTTCCCTCTCCCTTATAACAAATATAATCCTTTTCCTTTCATTAAGGAATATTCCTCATCTGTTGGACAATTTGTGATTTTCTTTCTCGTCCAATATTTTATATTACATTTCTAGTTTAGTTTTAATAAAGAGCTAATCTTGCTATCCAGGTCTACTTCGGCATGCTTGATGCTTTGATGGCTTCAGAGGTTCTTCCAGAAGAATATAGAGACCGGTGTCAGGTGACGATTGATATCACTATTGCTTCCTTTATCTTTAATCTTTTTTTTTTTTTGCCCAAACAATTCAAGAAACGGAATTTCTCTATGTGCAGGATATCTTATGTAACGACTGCGATAGAAAAGGAATTGCGCCATTTCACTGGCTGTACCACAAGTGTGGCCTATGTGGTTCGTACAATACCAGAGTAATCAAGGTCGATAGAGATCATAATTGTATAACGTAGTTTAACTAATGAAGGCGATTTTATTTCTTTCCAACAATTTGTTTAATGGGCTATTGCATGTTGATTAAGTGAGTATTTCGTGACGATTTTATTTTATTTATTTTTTACACGAGGAATAGATAGAATGTTAGACGAGATGACCTAATGCTTTAGAGTAACTCTACTTCCTACGGGTATATATGAGCATAATAAAATAGATGGAGTTTTTGCTCCAATTTGCCATGTTGTGTTGTATCTTCGACTTTGGACGTGTTTTCGTATACGATATATTTGCTAGCGGATCTTTGGATTATGCAGAATGTTCTACGACTTGAGAAATATTCGTATTGCCATTCCTTCTTGTAAGTTTAATTAATACACAACTTCCTTCGTGTAGTTTGTTCTTGCTGTTTCTTTTATGTGGGGCAGTTTGCAAAATGTTGCCCGAAGTTAATTTTATTATATGCTATTTAGCATTTTATTTTTTTTCAAATGTTCTGGACTTCATACGCTCGAACTTGGCATGAAGAAGTACATATATACCATGCCCAGTTTAGGACCGTGCCTAACATTTGTTTTTTTAAATAAAACTAATATCTATATTTTATTAACAAAATAATCAAATATTAATTAATTGTTCATTCATTACAAAATAATATTAACCAATAAATAAGTAATTATTCATTACTATTAAATAATTATTAATAAAAAAAGTGAACTAATTATTAATTTATTACTAAAGAATTATTAACCAATAATTATTATTATTAATTAATTAATAATTATTAATCGATTATTATTAATTGTTCATCCTTTTATTTTGGTCCAAATCCGATCTCAAATGAAATTAAAGATCTTTTTCCTGGATTTTCACATTTAAGCCAACATCCCGAAGTACTTGTCATGTCGATCCACCACTGTAAATACCAACTAGTGATGAATCAAATTCTTCAATGTGACCGGAGTTGCCGGGTTTTAACACATAGTAGTCTTGTCATGGTGATTAGGGGTGTGCACGGGTCCGTATGGCTCGTTTTTTGCAATAAACAAAACACGTACCGATAATATCAGTCTTTCATATTTTAAGAACCGAATATGTCGGTTTTTTTGGTTCGTTGTTAATCGGTTTTTCGGTTAACAATTTCGGTAAGTTTATTTTCGGTTTCAGTGTCGTCTATCGGTTGGAATCGGTTTCAGTGTCGTCTATCAGTTGGAATCGGTTTGGCATAAAACCGATATTTGATTAACATTGAATTTGGACTTTCCTTTCATTTCATTTGTTTGAGAAAATTAACTAATAAAAAACATGTCACATGGAGGTGTTCGCAGGATAGAGGCGCTCTAGGGGAAGACAAATAGATATTTTCGGTTTTTCAAAAAAAAAAGTTACCGTATATGCGGTTTTAAGTCGGGACGGTGCATATCGACTAGGTTTTTTCGGTTTTTGGTCCAATTTTTCGATTTCTCAGTTTTTTTGCTCACCCTAATGATGATATATTTATATGTACATGTAGCGTGTAGAAATGATGATGCTATTACAGTTAATTAAATTTCACAAATAAATATTTTAATATTGCTTAATATATTTCTTATTAAAATTTTTGTTTTCATGTATTTTTATTTTATTCCTTTTTAGATCTTTGTTCAAAAGTGATGCATACTAGCCAACAAATAATATTTCATTGCTTTTCAATTTTCATTTTTTTTATTTTTATTAAAAATGAAAATATTGTTCTAAAAAAAAAACTCGGATTAATTCGGAATTTTCCAATTCCTTTTCGGATCTTTATTTGAAAGCAAATACTCTACTAGCCAACAAAAAATATTTCTTTGCGTTTCAATTTTGCAAATAAATTAGTGACTGAATAAAATACTTGACGCCAGCAAATAATACCATAAAGTTCTCATTTTCTTTCAAAGAAGAAAGGGAGAATAAGAAAATACTTTTAATTCAAAGCTTCCGATTGCTGATTGGTTTCCTCCTTTTTATCCCCTAATCACTACTTACAAGGTAATTTCTTCAAAAGCCCTAGCTCAATCTCGTTAATAATTCCTTCGAGAAAGCACTTTTTTTTTTTTGCTGCTATTGGGCGGTATGAACTAGGGTTGTGATTTATGTGTATGCCTGTATGGGCAATTTGAATTCGTTATAAAATAGATCTTACATAGACGTAGGATTTCATTTTGTATTTTATTTTATTTCGGCTGATTTTGCATCAATTTCGAGGAACTTTTTTTCTTGCGATCCGAGGTATTGAATTTCGTTTCGCCCCTATTCCAGCTCGCGTCCCCCCTCAATGTTTTGAAAATTTATATGGTTCGATTGGATTTTTGGTTGCAGATTTGGAGACAAGGGGACTGTATTATTGTAAGTAATTTGTGAGCCTTGATTATATTTTTGGCGGAATGTTATTCAGATAGCGAAAAAAGAAAGGGAGAAATAACTTTCAAGAAAGAAAGAGGAGAAAAAACACAGGAGAAATTTGGAGGAGGATAATGGCGGGTTCAAATATAGCGGGGACATCGGCACAAGCGTTGCGGCGAGACCCGTATGAGGTGCTTTCGGTGTCTAGGGATTCTTCTGATCAAGAAATCAAGACTGCTTACAGAAAGCTTGCTCTCAAGTAATTATTTATTCTTTTCTTTCCTACACAAATTTAGTTTGCTGCATAATTTGTTGTTCGTTATTCGATGAAGTTTGCTGGACTTGAGGGTGCTTATGGTTTGCTTTAGATGCCCACTTATTTGATTGGGAGATCGAGTTTATCTTGAGGGTACTTATTTCTTTGTTTGCTCGAAATATCTAATTTAACTCGTGCTAAAATACTCTGCTTGAGATTTAAAGGCCAGTTATCTTTAATAATAGCTTTATTTATAAAGATGTATCTGGTTTATAAATGTTTTTGTGATTAAATTTGCTGTAGTATCATTTTGCTATCATAACAGAATGCCAAAATTGGTTTCTAAAAACGTATTCGAATGCCAAAGTTGATTTCTAAAAACGTATTCTTGGAATTTCTTCAATTTTGCTTATTGAAATAAAATTGGGAAAAGAGGCAACCAATTGAGTTTGCTAATATTCTTGCAGACGAAAGTAAAGAGATGTAGTTCAATCCTGGATAATATTACGTCCTTTTTCATTTTTTATTGGGACGCATTTTGAATTTTTGTGACGTGAAAGATCAACGATAAAGTAGGAAACACAGGGCTCAAGTATGAAAAATCGGTCACATGTATCTTTCATTGTAATATCAACATTCAGTACTTCCTTTTGCTTTTCGTGAAACTACCTCTCCCAACAGCGACAGAAGACTGGTGTTCCTTAACCTCCTTTGGATTTACAGGTACCATCCTGACAAGAATGCTAACAATCCAGAAGCTTCAGATCTTTTCAAGGAGGTTGCATATTCATACAGTATTTTGTCTGATCCAGAGAAGAGGAGGCAATATGATAACTCAGGATTTGAGGTATTCTTTTTCAAGTGTCTCATGGTTTTTTTTTTCTTTTTTTTTTTCTTTCATGTTTAATGTTTGGAGCAATTATAGTTTCAATTTTAGCTTATCCAACACTGAAGAATAGCGAAGTGGAAGTATTGACATTCACTACGAAATTTACAGCCTGACCTATTAATATCTTATGAAATATGCAAAGGACTACCTATCTTAATAATCAGTACATGGAAAAGTATACTATAAGAATGGATTTGATTCTCTTGACTTAGGGTTCATTTGTCCGTTGAGTGTTGAAACACCTCATGAATTTGCCTCACCCGATTATCTTGTGTAGAATAATCTGGGATTAGTTATGCAAGAAGCTTTGACCTTTTTACCATGTTTTTTGCATAAGTTGCCTGCTTGGGGTAGTTTTATTATATTGACTTGCATTGCCATGCAAGTGTATATTGGCGGCTGTGAAGTTAGAGAAATTCCATGCAAGCTTGTTTGATGCAGCACTATACTAATTATGCGGACTCCCGTAGTTAAAATAACTTCGAAAATGAAAGTAAAGAGAATGCAATGCTCAAAATGCACTTAATGAATTTAGAATCGGTAATTTAGCCTGAATCAAGTAATCCCATTAGTAGAATGTCCCTTAAAAATTCAGAACTCGAATGAATCAATGGAAGTGTTCGTTTCCTCTAGTTTAGGGTTTAAATCAATTCTAATGTGAGTGCGTTAATTCTGATAGGGTTGTTCATATATGTGTATGTGTATGTGTATGTGTATCTGTCTATGTATATGAATGTCATTCAGGCGACAAGAATTTGACTCTAAACTCATGTCTTGTTAATTTCTCAAATGATCTTTCTCTTCCATTTATTTATTTAAGGTTCTTTTTAACTGTTTCAACATTTGTGATGAACGATGTTAAGGCCCTTGACACGGAAGGAATGGATATGGAGATTGATTTGTCAAATCTCGGAACTGTCAACACAGTGTTTGCCGCTTTGTTCAGGTTTGTTTGTTTGTCTTTGTCTTTTTTTTTTTTTTAATTATAAATTTGGATCTTATAGTGTTGCGGTTAAATGTAAGTTCGTTATCTGCATTTATTTGAAATAGCAAATTGGGTGTGCCGATCAAGACAACAATTTCTGCTAATGTTCTTGAAGAGGCTCTGAATGGAACAGTTACAGTTAGACCTCTTCCAATTGGAACTTCGGTCAGCGGAAAGGTAATATCTCCATTACCAGGCTACGATAGGCTAACCACATCTGTTTTAATTGGAGCAAAAATATTGAAGTAATATTTCAAAAAAAAAAAAACAGGTAGAGAAGCAGTGCGCTCACTTCTTTGGTGTAACTATCAGTGACGAACAAGCAGAATCGGGAATAGTAGTTCGAGCTACTTCAGCTGCACAAAGCAAATTTAAGGTATCTATTATCTATTTATCTTACATTTTATTTACAATTTTCTGCGCCTTCATCCATTGTTCTTTTCTACTCCCTTGTATGATGTGTCGGCTCCAAATTTTAACGATAACAACATAAGGCTCCGAACCATTATTCAACTACTTCTACTTGTCCAAAACACAACTTAAGGATGTAGATATAGTTCTTTCCCCTATGCTACTCCACGTGCATAACTATAATTGTTCTCTTACATGTGGTAATGGTTCTTTTACATTTAATTCTCAGCTCCTGTACTTCGAACAAGACTTAAATGCGGGATATGGCTTGGCGTTGCAGGTAATGTAATTTATGTTTCTGCTTTTCATTGTTAACTAAATTATTACCTCTTTATATCTGCATTAATGTTTTTCTGCATCTTTGGGGGCATTCAGCCATTCAAGATTCAATTTTTGAAACTTCATACATTCTCTCGACCCATTCTATCTACCTGTATGTAACAGGGGAATAGTGAGTGTTACGTCTTTTAAGTCTTAGCCCTTGAAATGATTTAATGTCCTTCCTTAATTGCCTGCTTCAAATTGCCCCTAAACATTATCCAGTTCTTCCAACTCTAACTTGGTGTTAAAGTCTAAAGAATTGATTTTGCATCACCCCATATGCACTCTAACCCTTTCTAAGGCTGACTGCAATGATTAATTTTTGTTCATTTTCTTTCGTGGTTGTTGGTTGGAGGTGGCTCGAGGGATCAGTTGAGTACAGTGTGGTTGGTTGGCTCTCATATCTGTTGGACAATTTGAAATCCAAGTGCTGAAGAATTAAGATGGGCCGATCATAAGTTTCATGTGTTTCATATTTTGCCAACTTTTTTAAGACTTTTAATTGACCTACTATATTCACTCTCTCTTTTTATTTAATGTTTACTTATCGGAGATTGGTTATACAACTTCTGAAGTCTGTAATTGAGTATGGTACCTCATTTTGCGAATTGTGCCATTGCTAATATAGGAAGACAGCGAGAAGACAGGCAAGGTTACATCAGCTGGAATGTACTTCTTGCATTTTCAAGTGTACAGAATGGATTCAACTGTAAATGCGGTGTGTATTCTTTACATCTCGTTTTTTTATTGTTTTTGAACTGTACAGGCTTTTAACCCTTATGCAAATATGATAAAATGTACGTGTGGTGTAGTTGGCAATGGCAAAGGACCCAGAAGCTGCTTTCTTCAAAAGACTCGAAGGCCTTCAACCTTGTGAGGTCTCGCAACTAAAAGCCGGCACTCACATATTCGCTGTATATGGTCAGAACTCCTTTTGACTTTGCTTATTATGTTGACTTTCTGTAGCTTATGAATCTGGATAGTAATCATTGCACAAATTGCTGTGATGCGTGCAGGAGATAACTTCTTCAAACCTGCTACATATATGATTGAGGCTCTTTGTGCAAAGACGTACGAAGATACAACTACTAAGCTTAAGGATATCGAAGCTCAGATTTTGAGAAAGAGAAGTGAGCTACGCCAGTTTGAAACAGAATATAGAAAGGTAGTCCTCCTTATTACCGTTGGTTGTTATGTAATTCACAGTTTAGAGTTTTCGAAAAAGTTCTAATAGTATTATAACCCCTTGCTCCTCTATATTTTCAGGCATTGGCACGATTCCAAGAAGTCACAAATAGATATACTCAGGAGAAGCAGTCTGTAAGTTTTTGTCCAAGAATCTTTCGTATTTGGTTTTTTTTGTTGTCGGGTTTTCCTTGCATTTACTAGAATTCTTCTAGTGCAAAGTATCCTCTTAATCTTGTCACAGTTTCTTAGTCATAAATATGTAGAGCTCAACTCCAGAAGCAAAGGAAAAAAAATTGATCTTCTGTATACATTCGTTAATTATATTTAAAAAATAAGCAATTACTCCAAGTTTTACGAACAAATCACCAACTTCTACTTTTCCAAAAGCTTTTGCAAACACCAACTTAATAAACGAGATTCCTCTTCTACCCATTAGTCTTGGATCGAGTATTTTTGCATAATGAGCACTTTCTATTTTCTGGTCAGTGATTTTTTTTATTGATTAAACGTTAACTCCTTACATTTCGATCGTAGCTTCACGTTGTGCGCTATTATAATGTTTGCACAGGTGGATGAGATGCTAAAACATCGGGATAGTATACACTCTTCTTTTACTGTTGCAAGAACTGTTGCTTTTCCAACTGGGAGTGGTTATTTTAGCAATGGAAGTAGCAGCAAATTTACATCGGAAGATAATAAATCCGAGGCTAGTCCCGGCGACGAAGGTAGTTCAGATTCCAAGGATAAATCTTCAAAGAAGAAATGGTTCAATCTTAACCTCAAAGGATCCGATAAAAAGTGAGACCTTACTGAGGTTTGAAGTTCATTCTTCGCGCAATTTTTTTTTTCATTTTTTGTTTTTTTTTCGACTCGTACTTTGATGTCTTATTATGGGGTTGTTACTATCTATTATTCTCGATCCCTTCCCCATGGATTGCGGTAGTATTTGCTGTAAAATATTGAAAATTATAGTAGTTTGTTGTGTAATTAAATTGTTTATTCTTGGAGTGTTCAATATCCGAGTTCGAAGCTGGGGATGGTTTGTAGAATAGTACAAGGAATCAATTAGATTTTTTTTTTCATTTATTATTCTTATTGTTGTTGTAACAATGATTTTGTTCCGCGTCGGCTGCATTTGGCAAAAGGGTGTCGAGATATTATGATTGTGTTTATATTGAACATTTTGATATGCATATGGTTTTGTTGATTTGTATTAAAATGTTGATAAAAGAGTTTGTTGAGAGAGAAATCTTTGCATTTTTATTACAGAGCAAGGACGCGTTATTATTGTTGAAGTGTGAATGACCTACGAGCGATGCGATGGAAAAAAAAAAAGATTTATCCGAGTGGCCAAGGGTTGTTCGATAGTTGGAGCTGGTTCTTCAGAAGCTTCTACGTTTTATTTTAGTTTGTTCTTGTCTCGTCAAGTCACGTACATTGATACTAGAGAACCAAACTTGGTGGATTTTAAGTGGGTTTTATAGTAGATACGACGTCTGTTACATAGTCAACGACATTGAGGTCCTACGAGCTGGTCGTTCGATACACTCGCCAAATGTACGACTGGGGTTCGATTTTTGACGTGAAAAGATCCAAATACCCTTTACATTATAAATTTCAAAAATAGCCCCAAATAAAGTTTTCAATTTTTTCAATTCAGTCTCTTGAAGTTTCAGAAATGCCCTCTTCTTCCTCAAGTCAGAGACTGATTTGCAGTCTTCCAAAAATACACTGATTGAGCAGGTTTTTTGATCATTCTAGTACATTCGATGCTGCTCTGAAGGTTGTGCAGCTCTGTTTCAAAATCCTACCCGTAACCCGTTCATCCCTTATCCGGCGTCGACTTTTTTTTTTTGATTTTTTTTTTTTCCGGATTTTTTTGGCTGGTCTTCGGCGTTGATTTTTTTTTAATAACCAACACAATAATTTTACTGTCTCAGACGGTAAAATTGATGTCTGAGACAGTAATATTGTTGTCATAGACTGTAAAAATATTGTTATTACTGTATTAGACAGTAATATTACTGTATGATACTCTTATTATGCTGTAATATTGCTGAGACAATAATATTACCATCTCATACAGTAAAAATATTGTTATTACTGTCTCAGACAGTAATATTGTTGTCTGAGACAGTAATATTACAGGCCATTGCTATAAAATTAATTAATACATTAATTAATATTATTGTGCTAACAACAATATCACTGTATTGGACAATAGTATTACAGACACAGTAATATTATTGTCTTTGAGACGAATTTTTGGAAGAGCCTGTGGGTTACCATTATGAAGAAAATATGACACAAAGAAATTCGCAGGTTTCAAGCTTTTGGATGGCGATTGATATCAATAATCTACCTACAAAGACGAATATAACAAGAAGACATGTGTTTATCTGAGATTCTAACCAGCAATGCGTCTTCTATGATACTAATTGAATGTTTTACATAACTCGGTGTTCAAACTGTAATGGTAAAGGATGTAAGGATGCAATTCGAGATGCACTTGGGTCTAAGCCTGTTGTGGAAATCTGCTTAAAATGAATTTTGCCGAGGCGAGTTGTCTCTGTTCTTAAGACGAAATTTTCAAATTCCAAGCACAACGAACTGTACGTTGTGTAGAACTTTTCAAGAGAATCTGTGATGGGTAGGCTAGAAATGCAGAAATTGGATTGAAGTGAGGAATTATGGGAAGAACGGGGTCTATTATAAGATTTAAAAAGTAGTGTCCTTTGGAGCAAAATGTACAAAACCCGACCGGTTCGCCCTAGAATTGTACTGTTTTGGTTCGGCCGCACCATTTCAAACCAATTAGACCGTTCGAGATGGGCTTCGAGTAAGGAGAGTCCAATGGGTTGACGGCCCATGTCCTAATGTTTTTAGTCCAAAAAAATAATTTGGTGGTTTGGGCCCTAGCCCAAATCCAAACGATTGATCTAGCCAGGCCAGCCCAAGTTGGCATGATTTGAAAAACATAGGCCTTTCTCTCAATAAAAATTGTATGCCCAAAGGTCTTGACCGTTAGATCCAACATTGAGATATATAAATAGTTCAATACTTCACTACTTTTCTAATGTGGGATAGCTCAAATCCCACTTTCCTTGTTTCAATATATTTTGGACCTAATAATTTTCATTGACCACAAATTGGTTTATATATATTAATCTAATCCAAATGTTGACTTAACTAATCAAATAGACCATACATTAATATTGATCAAAAGTTGTTCATAACTCAACTTCTAACCAATTTTCCCAACAACGCCAAAAGAAGAACCATAAGTTAATCTGGTTGATGTTATGGCATTGCATAACATGGTCTATTTGAAAAGAGAGAAACTCAAGGAAAATATTTGTCAAACGATGCAATGCAATGGTAGAATCCATCAAAATCAGAACTTGGTCGTGGATAAAAGCATTGCAACTACATTCATTCTTGTTTAATATAATCTTCTTATTCCGATTTAAAAAAAAGTAAAGGATTTATATGGGTGTGAGCTGCTTACATGGTAAAGATTAATTGAAATAAATCTAATATATTATCATAATTCAGAATATGATTGACATGATTGTTGAGATCGAGGTCTAAGCTTGAATTATTCTACCACGTACGTACATCCCACATATATATACACAATATATAATATATCAAGTTATGGTTAAGATATCATAAATCAGCCCAAGAATAGTGGCACGTTGACACCCTACTACCTAGTGATGGATAATAAACTAATCACTTGCAACTAATATGGAATCTTTGAATATACAAATTATATAGACAAGAAAATGCCATCTTAGGTTATCTATCCTTAGACTAATTTTTTTGAATATGTTTTGATGGTTTTGTGTAGTTTTTGGCCAACTAGGGCTCTGAATCCGCGGCTGATTAATCAATAATAATATTATTTTTTTTTTTTTATATAAATGACTATTTAAATATCATAACAGAATATAACAAATTTAATACAACATGTAATCTAAATAATCAAACATATTATTAACTATTTCTTGAAATTCTTGATTTTTTTTACATACACTCGTTTGCTTGGTACTATTAGATTAGATTGACTAAATAGTAGGAGTTAACAAACTATTTCTTGAAATTCTTGATTTTTTATTAAATATAAACTTATGCTGACGTGCACCGTCGGATTACTCGCGGCAGATGAAGTTGGGAGTTAATAAAGCGAAGAAATGAAGGTAGCAAATAAAAATAAACAATGTGGTGTTGATTAATATTAGTTCTAAGCTCCAAACTGCCCAATTAGCTTAATTTAAGGAACATTAATTAGTTTAACTTAATCCCATAACATGTGCATGTGTCCCCCAATTAGTGTTTCTGCATTAACATGTTATGTGGTGTTTATGTTGCCGTCTAATTGTCTACTTTATTACCAACCCAAAGCACATTTAATTTGTCTTATTATTATATCAAGAAATTATTTTAATTTTAATTTCAATCCCCAAATGGGGATCACTATCAATATATTATAATATATATATATTGTATAGTAGACATTCTAGACTGTAATCTAAGCTTAGGCTTCTGTTAATTAAAGTATTAAACTACTATTTAAAATAATTAATTAATTGATTAATTAATTGTTGACATGTGTATATTTTAAGTACGAATAGAGAGTCACTTCACATGACTTAAAGCTAATTCCACCAAAACCTACAACTAATTAATTAAATTAAATTATAGATATTAATTAAATGAAGTAGGTGTAGTGTATGACTTTGGAATACATGAAGGGACTTATTTGAGTCAGCCCCCACATAGGTTGGATTATTTAATTATGCTTTGAGCATATCCAATAAAGGGATCACAATTCACAACTTGGAACTAATTAATTAAGTCACATTAATTAATTAATTATTGTTTTTGGGATTCTTCCAATTGGCTAGTCATGGTTGTGAAATGGGAACAAAGATTATTAGAAAGTTAATGTGGAGTTGTGTTTGGATGGTCAGATGCTGCACTTATGAAATATAATTTTACATATATATGTACAGTTTGATGGAGGAATGTAAACATGGTGATTCAACGGTTGGTTAGTGTAGTAGAGTTGGGCTTGACGCCCACAAAAAACCAACACTCATTAGAATTGAAATTCTCGCACTGCAGGTGCCAGTACTCGTTCCTATGACCAATTGAGCTATACCCATACGAGCAGACATATATGAATCAATGTACATCTATCGTAGCAAGATGAACAAATTGTATCGCGGTATATATACTCCTGTACTCCCTCCCTTCTTATTAACTTTCACTTTAGAATATTATTATATGTCGCTTTACAGTTCCAATGATGCAATAAATACATTTTTCCCTTATTTTACGTTAATTAATCCAACTCTGTTAAGCATTAACGTTGTTTTATCACCTTATTAAATAGTAAAGATTTTTTTTTTTAATCTTTATATGAACCCAACCCAAAATTTATCCATATTTAATATTTTTTTAATATGTGTTTAAAAACCTTAAAACACAATGTAATGAAATGGAGGGAGTACATGATTTCACATAATTGACTTAATTGTCTTGATAAACACATCTTGGTGGGCCATATAAAAGATTTGGGCAATCTAAGATAATAATTAACTAACATCACTTCAATCTAATTACACCTTAGAAAAATTATGATTAAATGTCCTTAAAAGCATTCTATATTCGGTAGTGGTGGAAACCACTAACAACAAGCTGGAAAAAGCCTCTTGTTAGTTTATTCATTTAAGTACATTAATTAATTAGTAGTACATTAATCAAAAAAAAAACAAGCTAAGAAAAGTTGATTGGACATGCTTAATTAATTATTACAATGATGCAAGGGGTTTTGTACTTGTTGGCTCAACACTCAAATGAATGAACAAACAAATATACATACACAAACACACACAAAATATATATATATATATATATATATATATATATATATATATATATATATATATATATATATAAATAAATGGCCAAAGCCAATTGAATGAGGAATCACATGTATTACCCTAGCAAAATGGAGTGGCCATGTGCTTATTCTCTCTCATAAAACCTTAACAATTTTTGTATCTGACAATTTTGTCTTAGGTATACGATGTTTCAATTTAAAATATAATGTCACGGAATTTTGGTTGAGCCGATTCCTTGTTTCCAATCAACACTTGGTTTTTTTTCTTTTCTTTTTTTCCT